GCCGCAGCCGAGGGTGAGTCATCCAAGCAATTAGTGCGAGGGCGACAATAGCTACTTGATGCTAACTGGGTCTGATGAGTCATGAAGACTATGCGAACTGGAGCAATGATGACTCTGATAGTGTATTTAAGATGAGGGTAACTGGTTGTCTGTCGGGAGTTCGAGGACACACTGCCTCTCTAGCCGTCTAACTAAAGGCCGACAAACTCCGCCTTTTTAGTTGGTTAATGCAAATTGTTACCTAAAATAGCGGGCCGAGTATGGAATTTTGAGGGCTCGACCTGCAGAATAGGTTAATAAGTATTGCCTTTTTTCGAGTCGGCCACGCAAGTTGTTAGCTTATGGAGTCGGCCGCAAGAACGGCTCGAGTTGTTGCGTGTAGCAATAATCTGATTAAGCGTGGGATGGGACACACATTGGTTTCTCAGCAGAGATTAACACTTGATTATTTTACAGCCTATAACAATGATAGAGCCAGGAATCTCGGTAGGGGAGATCCAACTTCTTTTGAACATAATATTATTTTTTTGTGCGATTTAACATCTAAATATCATTACACAATAAGACTTTCAAAATCATAATTGAAATTAGATTATGGTGTTTACAATGCTATTCTTCTCGCCTTTTTTTCTCAAAACCTTTTCATGAAATCTTCCTCATTAATACTACAAATATTTTTTTTTCCAATGTAAGACAACAAACAATTATTCAGATATTCATCTCTCATTTGATTTTAAGGAATTGAGGGTGAGGGCAAAGAGAGGAACTGAGGGCCAAGGGCAAAGAGAGGAAATGTGTTGCTGGGTTTATCTTGCAGTAGCAGTTTGCAACTCATGTGTAGTTAGAAATCAGCCCCTCAAATATATAATTTTTTTTTTTTGTATTTGTCCCACACATCATTAAAAATTAGAATTAGTCCCCAACTCTTATAACCATTTTGAAATAAGTCTTCCTAATTAGCCGTTATTTGATTTGGAGTGAAATATTCCTTTAATTTTAACTAATTTGGGAGACTTATTTTAAAACACTTTGAAGATATGGGGTACCTGTTTCAAAATATGAAGATTTGAGAGACTACTTCGAAACACTTGAAAGATTTAAGGATTAGTTTCAAAATATGAAGAGTTGGGGGACTAACTAATACTATTGATATATTTTTAATTGGTATTTTAAAGTACCCCAATGTAGATTACGGTCTACGGATCCTATCAGAACCGGTCTCATGCGGCAACCAGTTCTAAGCCCTCAAATGGGGGACAAAATTACAATTTTGCCCATCAAAGAGCTCAAAACCGATCCTCATGCAAGTTCTGATAACAACCATACTAACCAGTGGCGGAAAATATTTATACCTCCTTTTTAGCTAAGAACTTAAGTATCAGTTGTGCACAGTAGACCAGTGTCAAGCTACAGTAGAAAAACTAACAATAGTTTCAGCGCGTGAAGGATTATTGCTTGAATTTAGGCAAAATCATGTTCCACTATAAATTGCTCTTCTGGAATAATCTTCGAACTGAAAATTGTAATTCACAGAGAACTAGCTCACGATGGATAAAAAAATTTAGAAACAAGCATCTAACGGTTATATCCTCAATTACAGGTTTAACACATCGTTTGGTAAATATAGAATAATACATCTTTCAATCATGTGGATCAACGACGCTAAATTCATAGTAATAAGTAGCAACAAACTCAAAATCAAAAATCATAGTCATTTCATATAAAACTGACAAATAATTGCGAATGCTTCAATGAAGTTACCGATGGAGCATTCTCTTGACAAAAAATGTAAGAGGAAGAGTTCGTCCAATATTTGTCTTCAATTATAAAGGAAAAGACCAATTATAATAGCATAAATATATTATATGAAGGATTAATTTCTGGGACAGCTAGCTCTCGTTTGTCGCTGGAATTGTTGAGAAAGCAATGGTACGTAATCTTCCTAGCTTCATCATCAGTTTCTTTCTCTCGTCCTGCAAAAGACCAGGACAGTTTAGAACATAGCTGCAAAAAAATCTAATATATCAAGAAGAGACTGTAAAACTCTGTATAACAGCACAAAGGATGTTTCATCATAATCAGCTCCTATATGAGCACCGAACCGCCAATTTTGTGCACATAGTAGTACGAAATAATCATAAATTGGTTTAATGTGTATTAGATGACATAGAATAAACAACGATTGAGATTAGTGCTTGTAGGCTGGCAGGACCGATGCACGGTAATCAGCATTGTTAAAACCAACAAGAGTAGGTTCAACATTTTACAGAGCTACGTGAGTGAGTGAGTGTGTGTTATTTCTTTTCTTTTTTTTTTCTTTTTCGGCGCAGGAGTCCTATACAATTGACCAAATGTGATTTAGATGTCAATTGGCAGAGTTGAGCTGCTCATGTATTTACAGAACAAGGCATTTTATGGTGATTAATTAAACATTTGGATTTTGGAGTAAGTATGTCAATTGCATGAGCTGTCGTAAACCTGACAAAAAATTAATTTGGCAGTAAAGTTTTGGAGGGGGGTAAAGAATGCAACCCAAGGCTAAGCTTCTTGGTAGAGTTTAATAAGGAAATCCTGCAATCGAATAATTTGTCTAAGTAACTCACAATTGAACATGGATATGGATCTACAACTTTAAAAGTGAACTTTAGCAGAAGAATGGCTTTAACAAGGTAAGAAGACTGACAGACGTGAATGCGTCCTGCAGTACACACACTTATGCAGCTTAGCAAATTTCAAGGAGTATAAAGAACACAAACACTTCCACTTAAAAGAATAAGAAAGCTTCCACATTCAAACCAAAGATCTCCAACCATTTGGTTACAACAAATGATAGAGGGAGGGGGGGGGGGGGGGGGGGGGCGGGGGAGGGGCGGGGGGGTGGGCGGGGGGGGGGTTGTTCTTGGCAAACATACCTTCATGTGACAATTAGATATTTCGACGTTGCCATTTTCTAATATTTCTCCCTAACATCCTATTCTTTGCAGTTGTTTTACGGATAGGCTTCTTGTCAACTGATAATTAATGAGAAATGAATTAATGGTAAATTAATTACGCATAGTTTGCTAATTTTTATGATGCACAGGATAAACCATGCCCTATTTGTGCATTGTGATGCTATTTTAGCAAGTACACCTTTTGCATCCAGACTACGTTGTCGGTTTAAGCAACTAAATTCAACTATTCTTTGCTGAAACAGTATTAAGATGGATAAATTAAAAATACTTTTATAAAAATTTAGGTAAATATTAGTTCCTCAAGGTTTATAAGTAATTCAATTTTCATCAAGTTCGAGTGGAGAAAATGCAATAC